CCCCCGAGGAGGTCCCAGACCCAGATCTTAAAACTCACATCCCAGCCCCCCGTCTCCTGTCTGCCACCCCACTCCCCGCTGCCCCAGCTCTGTCTGATGCAGGAATAAGAACCAGGAGGGTTGGAACCGCTTCTGGCCTTTTTCATCCCTCTTGAGTTTGGATGAAAACCAAACCCGCATCTTTCTCATTCTGTCCCTCCCTCACCTTTAGGAACTTTTTTTATTTTTATTTTTATTTTTATTTATTTATTTGCATTTTTGGCTCACGCCCAGCGATGCTCAGGGCTGACTCCTGGCTCTGCACTCAGGAATCACTCCTGGTGGTGCTCGGGGGACCCTATGGGATGCTGGGATTGAACCTGCGTTGGCCACGTGCAAGGCTAATGCCCTCCACGCTGTACTATCGCTCTGGACTCCCACCCCTTTCTTTCTTTCTTTCTTTCTTTCTTTCTTTCTTTCTTTCTTTCTTTCTTTCTTTCTTTCTCCCGGTGATGCTCAGGGGTTCCTCCTGGCTTTGCACTCAGGAATCACTCCTGGCGGTGCTCAGGGGGACCGTATGGGATGCTGGGGATCGAACCCAGGTCGGCCACTTGCAAGGCCAACGCCCTCCCCGCTGTGCTATCGCTCCAGCCCCCCAAGAGCTTAAAACATTTGCTCTCCTTTTATCTCAGTTTTAGAACGTAAGGGCAAAACCGACGCCATGACAGGCGGCAGAAAACAGCAAAATCAGCGAAGCTTCAGGTTCAATTACAGGAACTAAAAGGTTTCAGTTTCCCAGCAATGAAACAGTGTGTAACTAGCCAACCTGAACCCACCTGGGAAAGTTCCTGGGCCCTCCAAGCGGGCTCAATCAATCACAATGCCCCTAGTCAAAATGCCCCAGAAATTGTCTTTTGTTAACCCTAAAAGAATGAGTGGCTTATGTAACCATGAACTGTTACTGGAAATTATTGTTTAATTGTTGCCTGACCACTGTTACCTTAGACACTTGCCAAAAACACTTTGGTAACTAAGTAAGATTTCTTTCTGAAACAATAAGGAATGTACTGCATATGTAACCAAACCCTATATGAACTGCTTGCACTTGGGAGGTCGGGTTGCTATCAAGAGACCACTCTGTGGGTGAGATAGTTGACGCCAGTATACTGGTATCAAACTCCTACTGCTTTTGCATCATTGAGTTCGTGTCTCTGTCCGTCTCGTCGCTTGGGAACCCAGAATCCTGGGCTTAACAGGGAAATGTGTTTCCTAATGAATGTGTCATTATGTAGATGGCACTGCAGATCCTCATGATGTTGGCTGAAATCATAAAGCTGCGCTTATAAAATGCCTCGAAATGGTTCCAGACTCTTGCTGTGCCTTGAGGGGCACCCAGCTGTTTTCTTGGTAGGAGATACTCCACACACTGACCAGCTCCCTCTTACCATTCCTTTCTGAATGATTCACATGCTGGTAACCCTCTCCTTGGAGTTCACGGCGGACCAAGAGACTCTGAGGTAGGCCATGAAAGAGAGTGCTGGCACCTGTCGGCTTCTTTCTTTTTATTGAAAAGGAAAAAATCAGTTCTATTCTAGCGCAAACAATGTACATTTTTCATCATAAAGCAAGATATAATTTACATATTACATTTCTTAATGAGAACTTTATACCCTAAATGTCATTCTTTTTTTTAATTATTATTATTTATTTAAATTCAGTCACCGCTTCTGCTTTGATGTAACCTGCCACGGCGCTCTGCAAATCCACCTCTTGTTTGGGGGGGAGAAATTGGGGGCCCAGGCGCTATGCGTGTATTGATCCATGCACGGGGTTTCAGGGAGAGATAGTGAGAGGTGCGTATGTGTGTTAGAACTCTGCTTCCTCTGCAAAACCCGGCCTCAAGCTTCTCTTTTCTTGAAATCAATATTAAGACGGGCAAACCAGAGGGTCTGTAGGCTGCTACGAACGTCCTTCCAGCTGAACGCTCAACTAACACGCTTGTGATGGTCGCTAGGAGGAGAACCCTGACCACTGGGTCACACTGCCACTTTCTCCTCACCCTTTGACTGCTGGGCTTGAGCTTCTCTGCACACATTGGACATGGAAGGTCGGGGTGGGAGCTTTAAATGAGAAATGGCTTCTCTGCGCCCCCCCAACTCCCTCTGCTGAGATCGTTCCCCCTGCCATTCCATGGCCCCTTTTCCTGAACGCTGGTCAGCCCCTGTTCTGCAACCCTCATCGTCTTCTATGCCGTCCCCCCAAATTCTTCACACGCACCGGTGTTCCTGAGGTACACTCATTTCACCAAGCACACCCAGATCTGTTAGGGCACACAGTTCCTTGGAAACTTAGTAATCCACAGCAGCAAATATGGCAAAATGAAGGACGGGGGATGGAAGAAGTGGGGAAATTTGACAATGGGTTCAGCCAGCCTGCACGGAACGTTTCGATACTCACTTGAATGTTGGAGGGATCAGTGGGTAAAAGAGAAAGACATTAAGACAAACTTCGTTCAAGCCTGCCTCATGAGCCGGGGGAGAAGGCAGCTGGGATGGAGAAGGGATCACTGAGTCAGTGATGGATGGAGGGGTCGCTCGGGCTGGGAGGTGTGTGCTGAAAGAAGGCAAAGGACCCAACGTGACGGCCTCTCAGTGTCTGTATTGCAAACCATAATGCCCCAAAGTAGAGAGAGAGTCTGGGGGAGATTGTCTGTCCTGGAGGCAGGGGGAGGGACGGGATGAAGGGATACTGGGAACATTGGTGATGGAGAATGTGCACTGGTGGAGGGATGGGGGTTCCATCATTGTATGACTGAAACTCAAACGTGAAAGCTTTTTAAGTGTTGCTTACCATGAACGATAATAATAATAGCACTGCACCGTAGCACTACCGTGCTGCTGTTCATCAATCTGCTCGAGCGGGCACCAGTAACGTCTTCATTGTAAGACTTGTTGTTGTTACTGTGTCTGGCATATCGAATACGTCACGGGGAGCTTGCCAGGCTTTGCCGTGCAGGCAGGAGACTCTCGGGAGCTTGCCGGGTTCTCCGAGAGGGGCAGAGGAATCGAACCTGGGTCTGCCGTGTGCAAGGCAAATGCCCTACCCACTACGCTATTGCTCCAGCCCAATAATAATAATAATAATAATTAATAAAAAGACAGGCTTCCTTCTTGTTTAGTGGGAGAAATTCAGGCTCAGCTGTGGACATGCATTTTTTCCCGATTGTGTGGCTGGAACGTAAGACAATAGCTCAACCAGACACAGGAATGGAAAGAAGAAATGTTTGCTAGAAGGAGCTCTCAGCCCCACCTCCAGCCCCCAAGCCCTCGCTTGTCACCCGCCGATGGCCTTTGAGGCCAGTATCCATCTGACGGGTTTTAATCACCATGAAACACCACCAAAGAGAGTCCAGCTGCTGGCGATGGAAAGGCAAGGCAGGGAGATGTCGTGTGAGTCTGACATCAGGTCAGACACGTGACGTCAGTCTTTATGGAGAATTACCTATGCCTTGCGTGACACAGCATCTGGGTCTGTTTCCCTGGACATGGTACAGTTTCATAGCCTCTTTCCCCACATGGCCACAAGTGCCGGACAAGTCAGACAGGGAAGGATGAAGGAGCCAACGAACAGAGCCCCACGGCACACCTGGGAGGCACATAAGGGTCGATAAACCCATTTTACAGAAAGGTAAACCAGGGCACGGCCCAGAAGCATGGTTTGGGAAAGTCCACCCGACAAGTTTACCAAAGCGTGGCTGGATCCAAGAAGAAAGAAAGAGATAGAGGTCTGCCCTACCTCCCAGCCTGGAAGACCAAATCTTACTTCAGAGAAAGGATGCAGTGCCCACAGTTGACTGTTGACAAACTTGGAAGCATTCCACTAACACAGGTGTCTTTGGGGAAAGGGCCAGCGGCTTGGTTTCTCTCCCTCCTGTCCCTAAGCATGACTCCATCCCTGGGTGAACGAACCAACATCAGTCCAGATTCCCAACTTCAGGATATGCCTGAAGCCTCCGCTGTTGCCCAGGGCACTTACTGCCCTCCTGGGATCATGAAACCAGCCCCGCTGACCGCCTGATCAATTGCTCTGTGGACCCCACCAGTTGCCTCATCCATTGTCTCAAGAAGTCTGTGTAGAGAAAGGAAGGAAAGACGTCCCTAATAAAAAAAAATAGTTTCTAGAAAAATGAGCGCATGATGGTGTGCAGTGTCCTTTGAGAGACTGTGAATATTGCGTTTGTGCGGGACTGCCCGGGAGGAACAGAGCTGTGCCTTTCCAACCCCTAGTTGTTGTTTTCCTAGAGAAATTTCTCTCCCTCTCTCCAGAGGGGGAGTGGGGTGGGTGGACTCTCTCTTTCCTTCGGGAAGCCCATCCTTGAACTGATTTGTTTAACTGAAGTCGGCCGATGGGGTGAGATATGCAGTAGGATGGATGGCGGTGAGACAAGAAGGAACTGCACCCTCAAATGGGAAGCGGAGAAGGGGCAGACCTCCCTGCAGTGACATGTGGGGTCAGACGGGCCAGTGACCTGATGTTGAAGGCAACACTTCTCCACCCCCGCAGCAGACGGAACATCCTTCCCGTAGCCCTCAGAGATGGAGGCAGGAGAACAGGAGTCATTCGTGGCAGGGAGCCTGATAAAGATGCCCCAGGGACCTTTGACTTGTTCAAAGGAGCATCTCTCCAGGGAACTGGGAAGTCTGAAGGAAGGCGCAGAGTACAGCCTGACCCGTGGACAGCCTCAAGGCAGTGACCCGAGTGTGTATCCGCATACACATACATGGACATGAACATATACAGGGGTCGCTTCTTTGGTAGCTGAAGGATGTTTCTTGCCCCCCCCCAAAAAAAACAATCATGGTGGAGGGTCGGGGCATGGGGAGGGTGACCCTAATCAAAGACGCTTGAAGCACATGAGGCAAAGCACGTGACCGGAAGGAGAAGCACTAGTAACACGCATTCTCTCTCTCTCTCTCTCTCTCTCTCTCTCTCTCTCTCTCTCTCTCACACACACACACACACACACACACACACACACACACACACACGAAACAAGCACTGGTGGTACCCAGGGCGGGGAGGACCATCGGGCTATTGGGTTATTCACTGATTTTGAGCTCATTTTTCTCCTCTCTCTCTGCCCACACCCCACCCTGTAGCTGTGCTGTTCTTTGAATATTTTAGTGCTGCAAACAGTGTGTCGTGTTGCCCCAGGAACAGAGCAGAGCAGGAGAGGCAGCTTAAGGCTTGGTGGGTTTTGGTGTTTTTTTTGGTGTTTTTGGTGTTTTTTGTTTTTTGTTTTTATTTTTATTTTTTTTTTTTGGTTTGGTTTTGATTTCTTCTTAGGCCTGTTTAATTTTGTTTGTTTGTTTCCTCAGTTCACTGTTGACACCTGGTTCCTCTGTAAACTATATTCCTTGGCTTTCAGTCTCAGGTTGGCAATGCTGTTGGCCATGTGGACGCCCTGGGCGGGGCTATGGTTGGCGCATGTGGCAGAATAAGTGACCATGGCACTGTAGGGACAAAGGAGAGAGTGGGGAGAATAACACGCATTAGTTTCATGCAGTTGCAAGCCTGTGTCTGGGGGGGTGACTATCAGGGCAGGGAGGGGGGTAGACGGGGTGGGGGGTGAGCGCCACGGCCTCTAAGACCACTGGCAAAACAGGATTTGCACTTGTAGGCAGTGTCCGAGTTTGGATAGCAAAGTCCTGAGTTTGGGGTCGGGCACCTGCCGAGCTGGACACAGTGAACTGGGATCTCCTCCTGGACTGCAGTTCTGGGCCATGGTGGGTGGGAGGGCGGAACGGTGGCTTCCGGTGTGGGCAGGTGTGTGGACATTTGGTGACTGGGTCACATGGTCTGTGATGCCTCTTCCTGCCCGGGCTGGAGGAGAATGGGCATTTGAGAAGAGACCCAGACATGTGAGTTGATTTGATTTGATTTTCCCTTTAGGTTGACCTTGCGACCACTTACTACTCTCCGCCCCTCTCAGAGAGCCTGGCAAGCTACCAAGAGTATCTCGCCCACACGGCAAAGCCTGGCAAGCTACCTGTGGCGTATTCGATATGCCAAACACAGTAACAAGTTTCACAATGTTACTGGGCCCGCTTGAGCAAATCGATGAACAACGGGAGGACAGTGACAGTGATTTTTCCCTTCCTCCCTCAGGGCTGCAGGTTCCAAAGCCAGCACTCTCCACCCCCCCACCCCCCGCAGACCCCAGAGCAGACAGGGTCTTTGGGGGAAGCAGGAAATGCAGCCAAGAAACTTTCCTGCCTCTCTCCAGTGCCCGGCGCCTGGCCCCAAGTTCTGTCCACTCAAGAACTTTCCACCCGCGTGTCACTGGAGAACGTCACCTCCGATGCACCTCTGGCACTGCGTACATTATCCTTTGAGTCTGTGGCCTGGGAAAGGCTTAAACTCCCCAAATAAAGCTTCTGGGTGCTTCTGGGTCCTGCCATTAGAAAATTTCTTTTCCTGGCTTAGACTGGGTGGCCCTTCACCACTGCAGCTGTGACACAGTGACAAGTCCAGCCCTGGCTCCAAAGGGAACTCAGTTAAACAGATGCATTCTAGTTGTTTCTAAGTTTGCCAAATAATAAGAGTAATAATAGTAGTAGCATTGTAGCTCTGTCCTTCCATTGTTCATTGATTTGCTCGAGCGGGCACCAGTAACATCTGCATGGTGAGACTTGCTACTGTTTTTGGCATATCAGATACATTACGGGGAGCTTGCCAGGCTCTGCCGTGCGGGTAGGATACTCTCAGGAGCTTTCCGGGCTCTCTGAGAGGGACGGAGGAATCGAACCTGGGTCAGCCGCATGTAAGGCAAATGCCCTACCTGCTGTGCTATCACTCCAGCCCAATAATAATAATAATTATAATAATAATAATAATGACAACCCCCAACGCACACACAAAAAGTCCCTTCATCCTGGGCCAGGAGGAGAGAGGCTTGTACAATGATTTACATTCCAGGGGACCACTCAGGATCTGGGGCTCAAGTGACCAGTCCAGGAAGAGAAGGAAGGAAAGTGACTCTCCCGATAGACCCAGTGAGCATCAGATTGACTCGACACTCCATAAAAGAAGGTTTCCAATCTAGACTATCACTGATTTCTTTCAGCTTCGTGGGCTGGCCAGGAACCCGGGGAAATCAGGGTAACGAAACAGAATGAGGCTCAAATCTTTCCGGAAAGAATCCAGATCTTTCCAGAAGAGGCCTGAATTAAAAATTCACCGGTTGGGTTTATTTTTTATTTATTTATTATTTATTTTTTTGCTTTTTGGGTCACACCCAGCGATGCTCAGTGGTTACTCCTGGCTCTGCACTCAGGAATCACTCCTCAAGGTGCTCGGGGGACCATATGGGATGCCAGGAATCGAACCCGGGTTGGCCGCATGCAAGGCAAATGCCCTCCCCACTGTGCTATAGCCTCAGCCCCCTGTTTTGTTTACTTAGCTCTGGTCTGCGTAGGTCTTTGGGCCATATAAGTAAAAGTAAAGGCCCTCCCGTTGATCATCGATTTGCTCGAGCGGGCCCAGTAACGTCTCCATTGGAGACTTTGTTGTTACTGTGTCTGGCATATCGAATACTCTCGGTAGCTTGCCGGGCTCTCCGAGAGGGGCGGAGGAATCGAACTCGGGTCGGCATGTTGGCTGCGTGCAAGGCAGACGCCCTACCCGCTGTGCTATCGCTCCAGGGGGGTATATGAGGCTGCCAATTCCCGAATTCTTCCATTTCTGTTATGATTTGTTCCCTCTGACACGTTATATTTGGGGAGACAGGTCCGGCCTTTGGTCCAAAGTTCTCCCTGGGTATCTCCTTTCTGCCCTTCATTCAGCTTCTACTCCAGAAGCTCCCACATGTCTGAGCCACCTGTGCCCCACCCCACAAGCCCCGCAGATAGAACCAAATTAAATCTAGTGCCTGTTAGTATTTCAGAAACACGGGATATGCAAATCCACACGCAAGTCTGAATACCCGAACACAAGATTTACCCAAGATGCTTTCATGTCAAAGCGTTCCTTCTTCCGCTAAGTTTTTGCTTAATAGAATGTCAAGATGGTCCATTCTCCAATGGAGAAGCCAGCAGAAGAGGATAACAATTGCTCATTTATTCACAGACCCCTCCCCCCCCCCAAAGCTAGATGTCACAGTCAACACCTGAGCAGGTATTAATTAGAGTGGGTTAGATTCGGAGAATTGTCACACACCTAGCCACGGTCACTTTCTAGATGCAGAGGAAAAGTTCAAGTCAAAGGAGATTTCCATCAAAGTGAGAAAAATCATCAGAACAAGTCTGGAAAATGGAATAAGCGTAGGATATCTTCATTCTTTCCCAAACCCATCCACATATGACCATATACTTCCTTCATGTACGATTTGTGCCCCTGCCAGGCTCAATTAAAAATTAACACAAGCCACTCCTAAACTCATGAGTTTCACAGATATACAGACACCGAAAATTTCAAAACGGTCAAGGGTCTGATCTCAGTAGCTAAGAAAAGGCACCGTTGGCCTTGGGAAGTGTTCTGGAATGTGGCTTTTTTGTTCCAAGCTGGTTTCTGCTAAAAACTTAAGTCCTAAAGACTTTCCCTAGTGCCATTTGAAATGCCTGTTTAATTTTTTTTTTATTTTTTGGCTTTTTGAGTCACACCTGGCAATGCACAGGGGTTACTCCTGGCTCTGCACTCAGGAAATACTCCTGGTGGTTCTCAGGAGACCCTATGGGATGCTGGGAATCGAACCCGGGTCGGCCGCGTGCAAGGCAAACATCCTACCCACTGTGCTATCACTCCAGCCCCTGAAATGCCCGTTTAAAAGTTGGATCTGTGAATGAACGTTTTGTTCTTCAGTACTGAGAATAAAGGGGAATGGTTTCTGAAATCAGGAGACTTAAATCTTCCCAAGAGAACATCAAGAGAAAATTCTCTGATGGTCCCTTATAGATCTTCAGTAACATCAGTGCTTTGAAAGGGCTTATTCTAATTTTTAAAGGGCTGTAATTTTTTTTTTTTGCTTTTTTTTGGGTCACACCCAACAATGCATAGGGATTACTCCTGGCTCTACACTCAGGAATTACTCCTGGTGGTGCTCAGGGGACCATATGGAATGCTGGGAATCGAACCCGGGTTGGCCGCGTGCAAGGCAGATGCCCTCCCCGCTGTGCTATCGCTCCAGGCCCAAAGGGGCCGTGATTTCTATCCTATGAGGTTTTGAATTGGCAAAGTGATATTTAATTCTCTCTTCTTTTTCAATATGTGTGTGTGTGTCTGTCTGTCTGTGTCTGTGTCTGTGTGTGTATAAAGCTGTGATCCACCTTCCTTAGCAAAGCAACTTGGAGATTTGGATCCTTTAAATTTATGAACGATGTTGTGGTCAAAAACTGTCTCCTGTAGGAGTGAGTTGAGTTTTCTCTATTACATCATCACATCCCTGTCATTACCCCCTAGTTGACTCATTCTGACAGTATAGTCTGAACTTTTCTTTCTTTCTTTCTTTCTTTCTTTCTTTCTTTCTTTCTTTCTTTCTTTCTTTCTTTCTTTCCCTTCCTTCCTTCCTTCCTTCCTTCCTTCCTTCCTTCCTTCCTTCCTTCCTTCCTGTTTTTGGGTCCCACTCGGCGATGCTCAGGGGTTCCTCCTGGCTCTGCACTCAGGAATCACTCTTGGCAGTGCTTGGGGGACCCTATGGGATGCCAGGGATCAAACCTGGGTCGGCCGCGTGCAAGGCAAATGCCCTCCCCGCTGTTCCATCGCTCCATCCCTGAAGACTTCTTATCTGGTCACCTGTTTCTTGGAAATGCGTCCATTTCAATCACTGTTATTTTCTGTAATGCCGGGGTTCCCACTCAGAGCTCCAGCCCTGTAACACGTGTCCTTCCCCACGGGACCACGTCCCCCTGCCTGGAAAGACTTTTTCTCCCTCCAGTCCCCACCATTTGGGTGCCCAATGACACAGACACTGACCCATTTGACCCCTTTTCCAAACCAAGGGGCCGGAAACGAGGGGGCTATTTCGCGCCTAATATTTTCACGGGGGTGAGAACAATAATCTGGTCTAGCTGAACTGGGGTGACATCTGGGGGAACCACACGTATCATGGAAGCTGGGGTCATCGGGGCAGTGGCCCTTGGGTCACAGCGGGTGAGGACAAGACAGAAATTGACATGATTGCATGGGAGGGACATTGCTTTCATGGGGGTGTCCAGACTGACCATGATGTGTGCAGTGACCACCCGTCCCACAGGACGGCCCATGGATGCCGCCCCTCTCTGCGTTCTCACTGCCCAGGTGAGGCGTGGGTCCCACAAGTCACCTCAGAGTTGGGGAGATCAGGCGGGAGGCGGGGAGTGGGAACACAGGGCTCCATTTCCAATGGGCTGTTGGATGTGTCCCTCATGCCAGTTTTACAACTGCAAGCTCTGTGCTGACGTTTTCACTCTGTTCTGTTCTGGGGGCTTCTAGATGTCCAGGGAACTGCATCCTGTCCTTGGTCTAGGGGAAGCCCTAG